GCAACCACACGCAACCGTATGCCGTCGTAACCACAGTCACAACAGCAAGGCTATACTTACCACACACGGCTGCATGTGCACAGTTATTTTATACTATAAAGGCTGTATAGGCCTAAGCAAATAAGGAGCCACATGTAAAGGTTTGAGAGTGAATAAAGTCAGCGAGTTTAGATTGAGTTTGGACGTATTTTCCATGTACTAAGCTACATCATGATTGTTATATTTAAAGGAAAAAATCCTGATTTTTATCAACCCTGTCATTAAGGTGTAATCTGAAACTGTCACCCAATTCATCTTTGGGCATAATATATTCAACCTGAGCTTGTCAAAAGAACTGCAACTTATATTGCAGACAATGATATGCACCACACTAAGAGCAATCAACAGCGCCTCCTGGCAAAGAAACAGACATTTGTTTACATGATATTCTGAAAATTTGACAATGTAACAATGCGACGGCACGACGCAACTATGCAATGGCATGACGCGACAATGCGACGGCCATATATAAGCAAAACAAACAATGCGACATGACCGCATGACATGACCGTGCAACGGCATGACACGCTGTTGACGGCGGAAGTGGTTACAGACCCAAGGAAGAATGCCCCACATGTGCTGTGTAATTGGCAGAAATGGAATTCCACATATTCCACCTGTGGACAAGATATGCTTGTATTTATAACAGGGACAGACCAAAGAAATGAGGGGGAAATTAATCAAGTTGAAGTACAAACAATAAGAACTGTTCTGAAAAAAAAAAATTTTTTCCTGCAGCCTTTGTTTCACAGTACAGAGACATTGTTGGCGAAAGCTTTACAAGTTGTAAGAAATGAAATTCTGTAACACATTCAAAATGGATCAGATCGTAAGCTACCAACGAAGTCAATGATAATTTAGATGATGGAAATAATTTTCAGTAAAGAAAAGAATTTCAAAGACCCTGTGGATAAGTTATTCATGCAAATCAATAAATATGTAAATTCAAGGAAACTTACCATGGTGAATCTTATATGGTGGCCTTGGCAGAAACCTCAATGAGCTATTACCTGCACCAGTAGGTCTGTCCTTTAAGTCCAGCAATTGTAAAAGCATGGCCTCTTCATTCTTCAAAGTCTGTAACATCTCTTCCCCTTGCTGCCCCTCAAGGTTTCCAAGGGCAGTATCACCACCAGTGCTATCACAACTTCCATAAAGGCGGCCCTCGGCTCCCCTTTCCACAAGGTATTCTTCATTGCTTCTGGTGTTCAAAAATCTGCTGTGGTCCACATCATTTTCTGAGGACATGTTCTCTTCATCAATATCATTTTCCTCTAAACTATTTTCAGCATCAGACTTGGAAACCTCATCCAAGGATTCTGATGAAGACCCACAAATGCTGATCCCACACTCACACAACTGACCAAAAAAATAAATGAAATAAATATCTGCTTACAAGAGGTTTCTCAGAGAACTATTTTACCAAATTTTTTTTTTACCAAACTTTCCAGGCAACAAAATTATCTATAACTTTGTACTTCGTCTAACATCAGGTTGATAAATTACATTCGTTAATTTTATTTATTTTTGGCAGTTCACCTGAAAACTGAGGCTTACACAGTTAGAATCAAAGACTATAATATTTTATGAATTAAATTTACTCTTGAAAAAAAAAACCCAAAAACTTACTGACAATTTCTTTATAAGCAAGATTCAATTTCTAATTCAAGAATAACAATCATCTTTGCCAAATTTAATCCACAATCCCCAACCACAGATGCAAGAAACACTGTCCACACTTGTAAAGTGAAATAGTATCACAGAAGCTGTGCCTATTTTCACAACTCATGACAGTCCACAACTACAAAAGATCAGCTTTTGACTTTGGAACATTATGAACTTTTAAAAAGTTTATGATTTTAGCAAAAGTCCCAAACCAACATTATCATGTTTAATCTTTTCGGGCAAGCTAGATAGGTTACAAATTTAAACAGAGAAATTTACAAAACAGGCTAACATGCAGGTAATGTTACCTGTGCATCTCCATTCTGCTCCGACACATTTTGAAGGTTCCTTCTGCTGGACGACTCTCTATCAGTTGCTACAGCAACAGCTGCATGAGCTGAATTGAATTTGTCTAATGGCTGTTCTGGGTGCCTCTCTCCTTGATCATTTTCTGATTGAAAAGGAAATAAACCAAATCGTGTCCTCATTGGGGTGTATGCTAATACTGATATCTTGTATTACAATTTGCTACCACTCGTTTGCTCCTCTCCTGGTCTTCTGCCTGAAGAAAACAACATTAACCCCTTTTAGCACAATATGGAATTTCTTGTACACTAATGCCGTGTTGCTGCATTTCTGGTACTACAGGATATTTGATAGACCCACAGGGCATTTGGTTGTGTAACGGGGAAAAATGGCACACTATGAGGAACTCACAAAACAACAAAACTCCGACTAAACCAAGGATCTTTGAAGGAAAAGTCACAGGAAACTGAATTAATAAGGACTCAGACACCAATATTTGACTACAAAAAAAGGACAAACAAATAACTTATTACTGAAAAAGTACTGGAAAAAATTTAAAAAAAAAACATAAAAGGACTAAAAAACACCAAAAGAATATAAACCAAGAAAATTAAGATTTAAAAGGACTAAAAACCAAAACCCAACACAGCGTGTAAAATGGACTTAATGAGGAGAGTTTGGCTTTCAATCACTGACTCATAGAAGCAGACAGACACCTGACTCAAGCAGAAACGCACACCCCAGTTAGGAGGAACAAATGAACAGTGATAGTGTCTCTGCTGGTCTGCTCTTCAAAACTAAATGTAGCCAATGCATGGGGTCAAGTTATATGGGTAGAAGCAAGGGCCAAAGTAAATAAACAGGGGGATACACTAACAGAAAAATACAGGGGAAATCTAACCAAAAACTGTATTTTTAGAGGGGAACTATTCCTATGAAAAGACGCTAACAAAAACTGTAACAAATTTCTAGCTCTGCCTCACTTGCTGAAGAAAGTGTTATTCTCAGTGACATGACACAAGGAGATTCGGGCTAAGTTTTCCTGTGTTTCAGAAACCTTGGTAAAAATACTTCATTTCTCTTCAACAGTGAACATTCCTTTGAGCTACATCTTTGATGATGATTTCCTCGATAGTTTCTCTTCATTTTGTGTCAGATAACCAGAGTCAGTGATAAAATGGGCCAAGAAGTAAAAATACGATCAATGGCATTTTTGATGACTGAGTAACATGTGTAGGCTTGTGATAAGTTGTTTCGATTGAAAAAAAGATTAAACAATATATGCGTGGCGGGGTGAGGTGCTTAGAGGTAGGGGCCTCCTTGGGTTACGAAGGGGCAGGGAAGGGCTGAATCGGCACGCAGGTCCTTGGGACTCCAAGGATGTAGGTAGACCAAAGCAGGATTGTCAGCTTGCCTCGTGTATAACAATTTATTTCGTCTGCCACACCGTTCAGCCTGCACCTGTGGATGTCAGGCCAGGCGACTCAAATGTTGTAGAAAACATGTACATTATATTTTCAAGATGTATTTTTTTTTTTTTTTGGCGATGTACATTATACTTCCCCACTTAGGCTTACAGAACAAAAATTAATCTAAGATACAGTTTGAGAAAATAGGAGCAATGCAGTTTGGAGTTGTGAAATACATTTACATTACAACAATGTGTGATTATGCCTCCCACAGCGGCATTATGAAGACCCACAATAATTATAACCTAAGTCGAAAAAGCGATGTACGCCCAGGGCCCCATGTCTACACGTACATGTGCGCTGCAGTAACGCTACATGGGCCTACACAGTACCTACACACTTGTACAACGATCGCCAAACTTCATTTTTACTTTACCCAAAATATCACCATTTTCCACCGAAACATGACTGAAATTTGCATTAGAATGATCCATGATCTTCTGCGGTTATATTGACATAGGACCCCAGTCATCACCTTCCCAAATGAAAAATGAATTATTAGCACCAAAATCGATCTATAATTATGACAAAGTTACCTGTGGATGTCGGGGCAGGCAACTGCCGGAGCCTGCGCACGTAGTAACTTAGCAACAATAAGTAAGATGTAATGGTTAAAAAAAGAGCCTAATTTTCCTGTACCTAATTCCTATAAGATGTTATGATAAATGACAATAAACCCAACCTGGTTAGATATTTGTTTGTAAAAGTATGGAAATTTTACAATCACACAAAATGAAGATTTTCTTTCCAAAAATAAGTACTAATAATAGTGATGAAATGTGCTTATTTCTGTGTTTGTTGGTGCGTCTGACTCCAGTAGTTAATGTAAATAAACACGGAACCCGACTTGTGGAACTAACGGGATGACCTTGAAGGTAAAATATCGACCAACAAATTATGTCTATGAGAAAATAATACTAATCCATTACACTCTAATAAATAATCTAAATAATTACAAATGGAGCATTTACTCCCCTTACATATGAAATGGTTACCCAGACTGTTAAAAATTTCACATTTGAAATCACCTAAAATCAACATATCTTGAAAATCACACGGAGCCTTCTTGAGCGTATCATGAAGCTTGTCAAAAAACTGGGTTGGGGTTGAAGTTGATTGATAGAACACACAAGCACTGGATGTCTGTATTCGTGCTTAATTTCAACCCATATGCATTCAATTCTGTCATCCTCAAGATCGGTGCGACAAGTAAGACAACTGATCAGAAATGTACATTGCCATTCCTCCCCCATGACAGTTTCTATCCCGCCTCATGATTAAATAACCTGGCAAACTAATTTTGTTATGGGGAATCAGAGGTCACAGAAGAATGTTTCATTTAAACAAAGAATGTCAACAAGGTTTTTGGACATAAAAATTTTAAGGTGGTCAAGTTTACTGACATGACTCCTGATATTTAAATGAATAAATGAGCATTCATTTGAACTTGAGTAAATGATACCATCCAGTACTGTTACTTTTGTCTTCTGTCTGGGTTCATTAGATGTTTCGACAGTTGATAGATGCTGACTCCATTCTGATTTGCAAGGCACCATCTTGCACTGATGTGACCAGTCAACCTATTTCTCTTATGGTCAACAGGTTACTCAAATACACATTTTTCATTCTTTCTTGTATCCACACTTTTCCATTAGACTCCGGTCTCGATAGAATTTGATTATCATAATATAGCTCACCCAACGTTGTTAGTGCGCCTCCTAGCAATAGCTTTCCGTAAATACATTCCATGCGGCGCTATGCAAATTTAACCGCCTGTGCACTTGAAGACAGCTTTGCGAATGCCCTTCCGCGTCTTGTCACATAAATTGTGTGTGTTGTTCGGTGTTTTATTTTCAGCAACACTGACGCAATATTATGTATTGCCACATGTGCACTCAGAGGGAGTCTTGCGAATGCCCTTCTGCATTTTGTCACCCAAATTGTGTGCATTATGTTTAGCTTTTATCTTAGTGATGCTGATCCACTATTATGCATTGGCTGGACAGTAGTCTTCTTGGCTCGAGAATGCATATTTTTCAGAGAGAACACCTCCAAACTCTGAGGAGAATACATGTCTCTTCTGACTTTTCTTGTTTTGCCTGCATTAGACACTATTGGTATTGCCACGTATTCACACTTGTGAATACTGTTGTAAAACATTTTCGATTTTCAGTCATCATGGGTCTTGTGGTGCTGGATTGTTGGCATCAGGAGGGGCACAGATTGGGGAAGGCTGCATTTATGGTATGTATGCATTTTGTTTTTGGTCGTATCAGTTTTACACTGTTTTGCCATGTAACTAAAATATGGTGGTAGCGTGAGTTGGGTGCAATTGCACATGCATGTATCCGTGTACATTCCACAGAGGGCACACATTTGAAGATTTCCTTGGGAATATTTGTATATTTCCTTGATAAGTGGATTGAGTGAATCTTATACAAGGCAGTCGCTGCCGTTTTGTTTTTACTACCTGTTAATAATTTTGTTGTACATATTAAGGAATCACACTTTGTTTTAGTTGTTTCTTAGTGCAGTGTCACTGACAAAGAGAGTTGTCAGAATGACAGTTGAGTAGGAGCATACATGTACTTTGGTGAATTTATTTGCCAGCTCTCAACAGTATCATTAATGAAACTGTCACAAGTGACTTGTGTACTGTACATCAACTGAAAGCACATCTAAAATGAGGATTACTTTCATAAATGTGCGACTGCCTCCATTTAACTAAATATACTAAGCTGTGGTCAAATTTGACTCAAGAGATTACAGTAATGTGTTTGGTCAAAGATTTGAAGCACAGTATTTTTTTCTTGTAAGAATCATAGTTAATCCTCCCTGGCAAGATGATAGAAAACTGTTGAAGACACGTAGATTGCACATGCCCCTCCCAAAAAATATTTGTGTACACTTTTTAACTGTGAATAGTTTATTTTTATTTCTTTTCAGTTTCATCCATCATACACCTGTACCTCCTTCCATTTTGGAATCTTGATTGCCACTAAGTCTTGGAAATCTCTCAGTGTTGGTATGTGTAACCACACAACATTTTTGATGATTTACAAGCAAGATGTGAGCTTGGAGTCAAGTAGTACTTTGATATATTACAAGCTTGCTATGGTCTGTTATTTTGGGATAGTTGAACACAGATAAGAAAAAGCACTGGTAATAAAAGATCCTATTTATAACTGTGACATTTCTAGGTCTTAAGTCTTTGTTTTTCTTTGCTTATTGATAAAATAAGGTAATTGTTATAACTAGGTAATTTGTATAATGCAACGGACCTTGTTATAACAGTGTTCCACTGTATTCTTTGATAAAGATATTGAGAACATAGGCCGAGGCTGAGGAAGTAGCCTTTATAAAGAGGAAACTAATGTTACATTATGCATTTAGTGGTAATGATTGAAGTCTCAATTAAAATCTGTTACCAGTCTAATATGAAATTTTATTTACGTGAATGGGTGTAAATCCACAGTGGTAGTCATTGTATCATCTTTTTTATGCTTGCAGGGTACTGCCACAATTGACTGCCATTTATATTGCAGGCCCTTTCGGGGGGGGGGTTAGTTCCGCTCATTGGTGTTTTTTTTTTCATAAATATATAATTTTAATACACCGTAATTTTCACAATATAAGCCGCAGTTTATACATTTATTCTCATGCAGAAAATGTCTCT